GTAGTAAATTGTTTCTCTAAAGGAGAGCCCAGGGAGGTCAAGCCCACTCAAGGGTGACCAAGGTTAGGCTGCCATCATGAATTTGGGTCGGCCCATCTTGTCACATGCATACCCCTAGTCCCTCCCATTCCTATGTGCACACCCCTAGCTCATCCCCTTCCTGTCACGCTCATGCCTGTCGTACATCCCCTTCCTATGATGTGTGTGCCTATTGTACTGCCTCTTCCTGTGGTGTGTGGTTACCTGTAATCACACCCCCAAAAGAAAGTATAACCCTTGGTGAGCAATAAAGTTGGGGCTTTCCTGCTCTCGCTCCCAGGCTCTCCCCATGAGGACCACCAAGCGGGGCTGAGGTGAGCATGCTACCATGAATTGTGTCTGACTCCATTACTTCTATCTCTCATGCTCTCTGTGACATCACTATAATCTTTACTTATTATCACCGTACAATTGTGCCCACTGGACCAGTGATTTGTTAGGGGACCTCCGTTCCTCCACCAGTCTGTCTCTGCAAATATCAGTATTGAATACAACTCTCACTCTCCCACCTCACCGGTTCCATGAATTGGCTGACTTGAGGCAGACAGCCCCAAATCAATGTCATGGAGTGAACAGGAGGGAGGTTGGACTGGAATCAAAGACTCACAGATGATTTTACTAAAAATCGCCACAAATACAGCTGGTTACAGGATGAGGATGGCTAAGGGACAAGAAACTCTGGTGATGAGGGCGGTGAGTGCACTTGTCTTCTCTTCCCAGTGATGAGAATAAAAGGTGCCACCCATTTACTGCTGATGACTTGTCAGGCTTCAAGGTCTCCTGTCTCTCTAGATTGTATTCTGACTCGTTCTGATCATCTGTTGGATTTTTTGGTTTACTTTTTACTCCTGGCATCACTGTTTAATAGGTCAGTTTGATTTAAGTTTCTATAATAAAGCTTTTCATTAATATCTAAAATCTGCTCGTTTGCTTTCCCTGATTGATGTGACTTGTACACACACATCACTATCTGGTATTAACTTGCTGATTTGTTTTGTTTATTTACTTTCTGGTCTTCTACCCCTGGTCTTGCGCAAGACTGTGCCCTCGGTGCCCTCCACACTTACTAGAATTTTACAAGGATTTGGCAAATATTATTTATTAAGCAAATAAATCACCAAACATTTTATGTATCTAGGGATTATCCTAAGGACTGGGCACTGTTTATTTTATTAATCCTAACTAGGGCACTAGCGGGTTTGTCTTTTGAGTGGTTGTTCACTACTGTGTCTCCAGTGCCTAGAATAATCTCCAGGGCACTACAGAGTGAGACACTTTATTCAGTAAATATTTTTCAAAAGAATGAAGGTAGGTTATTGTGTTAATCTGCATTCTCTAGAGAAGCAAAATCATGGAAGCTTATACATCTATAGAGAGAGAAGGGAATTTACATCAAGAAAATGGCAAACACAATTATAGAAGCAGGTCAGTCCAAATCTAGGCAGTTTCCAACTCTGTGGGTCAGATGCTTGGCTGAAAGCAGAGAATACCAGAAAGACATTTACTTCTCTTTTACTGACTCTGTGATGACACTCGATTGTGTGGACCATAGCAAACTATGACTAGCCTTGAGAAGAATGGAATTCCAGAATGCTTCATTGTACTCATGCAGTACCTGCCGATGGATCAAAGGTAGGTGTTCAAAGAGAACAAGAGAAAACTGCATGGTTTATAATCAAGAAAGGTGTGTGTGTCAAGGATGTATCCTCTCATCATCCTTATTTAATCTGTATGCTGAGACGATAATCAGAGAAACTGGATTATAAGAAGAATGCAGTATCAGGATTGAAGGATGGTGTGGTAGTTACATAATCTGGTGTCAATTTGAGAGGATTACTAGAGAAGGGGTGGAGTCTTGCCTGTCAATGAAGATATAACCAATGAAGCCTCTATGTGGGCCTGGCCTTCTCCTGAGAATTCTGAGAACTCCTGTTATTTTCCTCTTTGGAGGCTGGAGACACTTTTTCTCTCTTGGCTTACTCCCTGAGAGATGATCTACTGACAAGACACATGGCATTATCCTGATAGACTCCATGCCCTGGGAACTGGAGGCGCCATGTGGAGACCCATGCCAGTGCGGAGATGCTTCTACTGCCATGGATCCACAAGACTTTGCACCCATGGCCTGTGATCTTCCTGAATTCAGCATCATTGCATGTGTTTTGTGAGTCTAAAGAAGACTTTATAGATTGGTATCAGACATATGGGTTAATATCAGACATATGGGTTCTGTTATAGCCACCTTAGATAACTAAGACAGTGGTAATGATCTCCATTTTATTATGTTAAAAACACATGGAATTTAAATAACTTGTTACCATTTTGTAAATATTGACTCATATTCTTTGCACTTCCTTTATACTGGCCCCAGGGAAGACCTGACTATGCTGCTCAGTGGGTCCTAAGATGGAAAATATAGAATGAAAGAGAACCAGGAGCTTCAGCCTGAAGACACAAGAGAATTCCTTTACTAGGGAGTGTCAGACCTAAAGCATATATTGATAGAATGAAAATCTGAGTTTGACGTGGGACTGGGGGTGGGGGGTCTGGGGGGCGGTGGATGTAAGAGCGAGTGAGAGAGGGCTAAAGAGGAAGGAGAGAAGAGGGAGAGGTGTGAGGGACCGCGGAAGGGAAATTGTAAAGAAACCACACGTTAGCTGCTGTGGAGTTGGAGCCATCTCAAAGTGACCCAATGTACAACAGAACCATGCTCAATCCTGGGCCGTCCTCACAGTTGTTCTGCCATTTGAGCCCGTTGGATGCAGCCGCTGTGCCAGTCCATCTTGTCGAAGGTCTTCCTCTTTTTCCCGCCTCCTCTACTTTACCAAGCATGATGTCCTTCTCCAGGGTCGGGTCATTCCTGAGAACATGTCCAAAGTGTGTACGGCAAAGTCTCGCCATCCTTGCTTCTAAGGAACATTCTGGCTGTACTTCATCCATGACAAATATGTTTGTTCTTTTGGCAATCCATGATACTTTCAAGATTCTTGCCCAACACCATAATTCAAATGCACGGATTCTTCTACAGTCTTCCTGATTCAACATCCAACCTTTACATGCATATATCGCAACTGAAAATGTGGCTAGGTCAGGCGCACCTTAGTCCTCAAAGTAACATCCTTTCTTTTCAACACTTCAAAGAGGTCTTGTTCAGAAGATTGACCCAATGCAGTGCATCCTTGATCTTGTGGCTGCTGCTTCCATGAGCATTGATTATGAAACCAAGCAAGACAGAACCCTTGAACTCTTCAATCTTTTCTCTCTTGACCATGATGCCTACTGGTCTCCTTGCGAGGATTTGGGTTGTCTTGACATTGAGCTGTAATTCATACTGAAGGCTGCAGTCCTTGATCCTCATCAACAATTGCTTTGATCCTCCTCACAAGCAGTGAGTGACTCTCTCCATCCCACCTCTCTTTTTCAGGACAGTCCTTCAGATACCAGTGAAGCACCTACAGTCCCTTCAATCATTCTCCATTTTTATTATTCTGGAACTTTCCCCATTCTGAATGGCCTCTCCTGAACAGAACAGAACTGTGAATTTTTTCTTCTATCAAGGTGCTCAGAATAATATAAAACCAACATTACAGTAGGTAATTTCTGGTGAAAAGTTGACAGACTGTCCACCCATCCCAGCACACCCTTCAAAGTATACAGAATAGAGAGATGATAAAAAATATAGAAAAGTTCAGAGGAGCCTGTCTATTCCAAGAGAAATATTGAATCCAGAAAAGTAAGAGTGAGCTGATAGAACGGCAGCTCATGAGTGTTTGGGTCCTGGTGCTGGGGGCTGGGTTTCTAATGCCATGTAGGGACAGGAAACTTAGCTTTAGGACGCTGGTGAGCACTTTGTAACTTAGCATTATCTCATAGAGGATGGACTGATGTTTTGTGTGATCTATGCCAATAGGGAGGTCCTATTTGACCTGGATGGCCATCTGGCAAACGTGCTGTTGGGGGGTCACTGTGTGTAGTGAGGTCTCCCAATGATCCTTCAATTTTCTGATGAAATTCTCATCTAGAAGGCTGACCATTCATGGTCGTTGGCCCAAGTAGCATGGAAATCTAAGCTTATAGACTCAACATATCAGGGAAACATGAATCATCAGTGATAGGTAACAAAAATTCACAGGGTAGCCAAAAATTAGAGGAACATGCCATTTAATGGCCACTTTCTCGTCCGATTTTCAACTTCAAAGAAAGTGGAGGGAGTACCTACTACCCATAATTTTAAAAGTGGATGCCATGGAACAACAAGCATCTTGTTACAGACACCAGCCAGAGTTCTTGTTGCTTTTTATTAATAAGTATTATTATTAAATGTGTTGCCTTACTCTTGGAACATTCATTCCTCTCTTATGCTTCCTTCTTCCTCACCATCTCCTCTTCTCCCCTTTCCTTCATCCTTCTTCTCAAGATCCCCTTCTCCCCCTCCTACTCCTCCTTGTGCTATAGTATAGCACCTGGTCTTTCACCTTCACCATTAAACCCTACAGCATTTTAAAATATAGCATACCATCTAATACGATTGCCATACTCCAGGCCATACAAAAACACAAGCCTTTCCCACGATCTCCAAATGGCCAGAGCACCTGTGTATGAATCTGTGACAAAGCAATGTTTCAAGTGAATTAAAGTCCCCCCACCCCACCCCCCATAAAAGGTGGGATTTGGGAACCTGCCAGTGACCTCTTGCTGAAACCCAGAGGGTGGTGACTGTAAGCTACGATGTACTCCTCCGTTTTTGGAGAAACACAAAAGTTGTGTTCTTCTGAGTGTCTATCTGCATGTTCAGATATACAGGTCAGTACATAGGCATGTATGATAGCTGATTTCCTAGGCTCTGGCCATTTTCTGTTCCTCAATATAATTTTCCTTTGCACTTTATACAAATTAAAAACATGGATACAGCTAAAATAGGAAGAAATGAGTGCTTTAAATGTTTGCATTTTACTGAAAAAACAACTATGGAACGCTTCACGAATTTGTGCATCCTCCTTACGCAGGGGCCATGCTAGTCTTCTCTGTATCATTCTGATTTTAGTATGCATGCTGCTGAAGTGAGCACGCTAACACGACTGTTTATCCTACCTTGTCACCTCAGGACATCTAAAAAGCCTATATGCTGTAAACGAATAAACATTGTCCAGAATAAACATGTGTATTGTATAAAAATGCACATATAAACTTATGGTTATAATCCAACACAGTGTCCTAGATATGGAGAGACTACTCAACAGCCTTGCCCTCCTCCCTTCCTATTCTCCTTCCACCACCTTCAAAGACTAAGCACAGAATGACCAGCTCCAAGAGGTGGATTGATAAAGGGCACCCACTGAAGACAGTCCTTCTAAGAGATTGTTTTACAATCTCTACTTTTAAAATGCTTTGGGCATTAGCACATATTTATCCTTTAACACACAGCAATATTAACTAACGCACATATAAAACTGTTAGGTAGCTAGATTTAGGGACAGGGGGTTGTCCCTCCTGTGACTGCAAAGGCCCCCATAGAGGAGGTTGAAAAGAAATCAGGCAATAATCAGGCAGTAATAATTTATGAATTATCAAGGGTTCAAGAGGGAGGGCGGAGTGGGGAGGGGAGGTGGAAAATGAGGAGCTGATGCCAGGGGCTTAAGTGGAGAGCAAATGTTTTGAGAATGATGAGGGCAACAAATGTACAAATGTGCTTTACACAATTGATGTATGTATGGATTATGATGAGTTGTACAAGTCCCCAATAAAATGATTAAAAAACAAAAAAGAAATCAGGCAACCATTAGACACCTATGAAGATCCCAAACTGAGCATGCTCATACTCAAGCCCCCAGCCAGGTGGGAGGTACACCTGGGCAGTCCAAACTAGGCCCAAGCTCATGACATCACCCAGGTGGTCTCAACCCAGCCAATGGGGTCAACCAATATCATCAACCATGCCTCCCCAGCCAGGGGCTTGAAATATCCTGGCTGTGGGAAGACTGACTTCCCAGCGGTAAGGGAGGGGGAGGATCTCCTTACCTAGTGCAGGCTCACATGCAGCCTGCTCCAGGCCTCTTTGGGGCCCACAGCCTCTCTTGCCCTAGTGCTCTTGCCTGGGTGTGCTGGCCCCCTTGCTCTCTGGCCTCCCTGCCCTTTGGCCCCTTGCTCTCTCCACCTGGGTTGGATCCCTGGGATGGTCCCTGGAATTGATCCCCCCAGTTCCGCACTTGTGGGTGCTCTTTTCCATGAGGTTGCTTGTGCCCAGTTGTGAAGCCTTTTGAGACTGTAAAACCTGAAACTTGTCCTGTCCTTGATAAAATCCCACTTGGATTACAAAACGGGCTTCAGCATGAATTCTTTCATCATGCGAAGCCAGGAACCGAGGTGTGACCCACCCGAGAGACCTAACAAAACCATGTGTAGACCATCTGAACTTGTTTACCTCTGGCCATATAGCCCTTCCCTCTGCATCTCCTTTCCCACCCTGACCCCCACTTCCCAGTATTCTGCCTCCGAATCATCAGATGAACAATTCCATCCCAAATGCAACCAGTCCTAGGAATTATGACCTCCAAAATGTATTTAAAGGGTTTGACTTTATATCCTCTCCTAACATGTGCACTTCTAAACATCTAGAAGGAATATTTCTAGATGTTTCCAATAAAGACTTACGTCTGCCCACCATGCACAGAGCAGTATTGAGTCAACTACAGATTTGTAACAAAGGCTAGAATCTGAAAATGTCCTCCAAATAGGCATTCTGGTCTGGAATCTTTACCCCTCACTTCAGCTTTCTCGGCCCAGTTGACAAAAGTAAGCATCTGTAATATTGGAGGGGACTTGCACATCTTCACTTCCACCAGTCATGCCTCTGAAGTTGAATATGAAATGTACAGGTTTACTAAGTCTGCTTTTGTCATACACTGGCGACCTCTTGAACATCTAGGAAGACTAGATGTTGTAACATTAGGACTTAACCTTTATCTGCACTATACACACAGCAAAGTCATACAAAATACACAGCACACACGGGACTAGCGTTCATCTGGCCGCACTAAACATACTGGTAAAACCCTTTGCACGTTCTCCCTCCTTCTTGAACAAACACAAGCATGTGCTGCTCACAGAGGCCTTTGGCAATTCCATTTCCAAAAAACAATAATTCATATGAATTTTAACAAAAGGGTATCTACGAAATATGCTATTTACTGTGTCTACTTTTAGCATACTCTGTGCACTTCTAAACATCTAGAAAGACTAGCTGCTTTAAAAACGGACTTGTTTGTCCACTATCTACACAGGTTCTGAAGAAGAACATGCTGGTCTAGAGCCATTCATTTCTTCCAGTCCCTCTCCACCACAACCTGGTGGAGAAATGTAGGCACATGAGCACTTGGATGCGGCTTACTCTTTCATTCCCAGAACACAGCCTTTCTGATTTTTAACACAGTCTACAAAGTGCGTTAGTTAACTAACTCTACTTTCGTCATACAGTGGCAACCTCTTTAATATTTAGAGACTAGATGTTATAAAAGTAGGACGCATTTGTCCAATTTATACACACAGCACACACAGTTAAATGAAAAGCATGGAACACACAAGGCGATGGATACTCTGGGATATTCTGGTACATTCTAACACCATTTGCTATTTCTGTCCACCACCACCCCTTTAACCCAATGAAAAGGCAATAAACAAGTACAGAGTTCACAGAGGTGTTTCTCAATTCCATTCTCAAAGATAGTATTTACTATTAACCCTAAAAACCTATTGACATAACATTAACCTACTTAAATACACCAAGCACATCTCAACATCTAGAAGGACGAGATATTTCAAATAAGAATATACTTGACCACTACGTGCTGTTAAAAGGTACTGTTAAAATAAAATTGCACACACAACAATGTTTATAATCTGAGGTATCTTCTCAGTATGACCATTTTGGTCTTATCCTCACTTCCTTCTTTCCACCACCAACCTAGTAGACAAGTACAGGCACAGGTAATGCCTAGAGGTGATTAAACAAATCCATATCCAAAAGTCGTTTACAGAAGACAAACTTTCCCATGAATTCACAAAGTTTATAACATATGTTATTTTTACTAACTCTGCATTGTCATACATTGGCAACCCTCCTTAACATCTAGAGACTAGTTATTGCAAATTAGGATTCATTTGTTCATTATATACACTACACACTGTATGGTAGTTACATAATCGGGTGTCAATTTGAGGATTCAGAGTAAAAAGGTGGAATCTACTCTGTCGATTAGGTCAGAGCCAATGAGACTTCTGTGGAGGCATGGCCTTCCCCTAAAGATTCTGGGAATTCCAGTATTTCCTCCTTGGAGATGGGAGACACTCTGTCTCTCTCTGCTCACTTCCTGAGAGATATCCCCAGAGGACAAGACACATGGCACTACACTGATAGACCTCATGCCCTGGGAACTGGGGAAGCTAAGTGGAGACCCCTGCCAGCACTGAGGTGCTTACAACATCACTGGATCCAAAGACTTTCTACCCAGTGGCCTGTGATTGTCCTGCATTTGGCATCATTGCATGTGTTTTGTGAGTTTGAAGAGGACTTTATAGATTGGTATCAGACATATGGGCTAATACCGGACTTATGTGCTTGGACTGGACTGGGTTGAGGTGCTTTCTTAAAGTATAATTACCCTTTATATAAAACTCTCTCATATACACATTTGAGTTTCCATGGATTTGTTTCTCTAGTCTACCTGGACTAACACACACTACAAAACAAAATTCTTGTAACATAGAAAAATGGTTTTGTCTGAGACTGTCCAAGTATGAACATACTAATGTGTTGTCTTTTGTAGTTCTTTCTCTCGCACCCCTTCCAAATCAAAAATATAGACATTTGTATACTGCCTGGGGGTGGTGTAACAAGCCCATTCCCCAAAGACAACATTTCTTATGAATTTTGGCAAAGAGAGATATATACACAAGTGATAGTTTGGTATTTCTACTTTAACATATGATAGACACTTCTAACCATCCAGACAGACAAGATGTTCCAAATAAGTACTGTTAGTCCACTATACACACAGCATATTATTTACAGTTTGACGGGGGTAAAAACTGCACACATCAAACAGTTAAAATGTGAACGTGTCTTTGAAATATGAACATTCTGGCCTGTAGAAACTTCCCCCTTTCTCCCTCCTCCAGTACTAGTGAGCTATAAATGTTCAGATTTCAAATGGCAAATTCTAAGGATTTAAACCCAAAATGTATTTGTTTTGCCAAATCCCCATCTAGAATGACTAGACGTTGTATAGTATGACTTATCTGTCCATTGTATACACTACACACTCAGAAAGGCAAAGCAGTGCCCGCAAAGCACCCAGGGCAGCGGTTCATCAGGCCTCCCTGTAGTCACCTTGGCATAGAGCCTTTAGCACGTCCTCTTCCTCCCTCCTCCGAACCAGTGCACAAAAACACACACCGATTGGGATGGAGCCATTCATTTCAAAAGCCCAAAGAACAACAATAAAAATAATAATTCATATGAATTTCAACAGAAAATTTTACAAAATGTGTTCTTTTGCTACTTTTAATGTGGATCCAGCACTTGGGCTACTTTTAATGTGGATCCAACATCCCGAAAGACTCGGTAATTTGTAAGCACTGATTATGGACAGTTGCATATACAGCAGTGGAGTAAAATGCACGCGCATGACAATCGTCAGAACAGGTACGCGTCTGCGAGCCCGGCAGAGGCCTTCCTTCCCCATGGCCCCCTGCTCGGTTACTCCGTGAACCCACCCTAACAACTGTGGGCACGTGTTGCTCCAGACGAGGTGGTCTAAAAATTCCGTTTAAGGTCGTTTCCAGAAATAATTGTGCATATATGTTTTAAACGAATGGACATGTCCAAGTCGTGTGCTTTCCGAACTCTCTATCACACGGCAACCTCTTTACCAACATAAGGTCTACGCAGAGCAGCTTTTTCATATTCTCTCCCAGGCCTTGGAATGACAGCCAGGAGAGCTTCGCAAAGGGTGGTGGGCACTTCTTAGTGGCCACAGGTGGTGTGTTATTCTACCAGGTCGTCCTTGCAGC